AAGAAAGAAAGAAAGAAAGAAAGAAAGAAAGAAAGAAAGAAAGAAAGAAAGAAAGAAAGAAAGAAAGAAAGAAAGAAAGAAAGAGAAAGAAAGAAAGAAAGAAAAAGAAAGAAAGAAAGAAAGAGAGAGAGAGAAAGAAAGAAAGAGGAAGGAAGGAAGGAAGGAGGGAGAGAAAGAAAGAAAGAAGAGAAAGAAGAAAGAAAGAATAAAGGAAGGAAGGAAGGAAAGATGGAAAGAAAGAGAAAGAAGAAAGAGACATGCAGACATGACAGAAGATGTGACAGGGACAGTGAGGATGTTATGAAAGATTGATTAAAGTGAATAGCCTGGTGCCATATGCAGTGTCTTCACAAAACAGATTAAGTCCTTAACATTGGAGCAATCTGTCACCCACAGCAGTGGCCATCTTAACACACATCCTTTGGTTGGCCCTCCCTCTGTCCCTGTCCCACCTCCCCTAACTCTCTCTCCTGCTATCTGGGATCCCTTTCTAAGACAAGCAGCTCAGCCAGGCTCAGTGGCTCACCCCTGTAATCCCAGCACTTTGGGAGGCTGAGGCGGGCGGATCATGAGGTCAGGAGTTCAAGACCAGACTGGCCAACATGGTAAAACCCCGTCTCTACTAAAAAAAAAATACAAAAATTAGCTGGGCATGGTGGCTCATTCGTGTAATGTCAGCTACTTGGGAGGCTGAGGTAGGAGAATTGCTTGAACTGGGATCCGGGAGGCAGAGGTTGTAATAAGCCAAGATCATGCCACTGCACTCCAGCCTGGGCTACAGAGCAAGACTCCATCTTGGGAAAAAAAAAAAAAAAAAAAAAAAAAGATGAGCAACTCAGACAGATAGATCCATTTGTCCACACTCCACCTTGGGGAGCACCTGGGCGGATTCTGTCATTATCTCTATTTTGCAGATGAAGAGATCGCAGCACAGAGAAGCTGACTAGCTTGACTGAAGTCACACAGCTAATGAGTGACTGAGCAGGGCTGTGACTCCAGGGCACCTGATTTTCAAATCTGCACCTTTCACCATGATGCTTTTGGTCAAATAAGACAGGACAAGTTGGAGAAACACAGGCCTCATTCCTGCACATCCTAACCCATAAATTCTGAAGTCTTGAAACAATTTTCTCAATTGCCCCAGTCTAAAATTTTTCATCTAATTTTAAAAAATTGGAACTCATGTTAAATCATCCAAATAATTTTTCCTTTGCTTCTCTTTTCTTTGACTCTATAGATCCGGTTTCTCTTATCTCTCTGATACTTTACCATCTTCTCCTCAACAATAATAAAGCCACTTAAATTATTGCTAAAAAGTTAGAACTTTAAAGCAGCTTGGAAAAAGTACTGTTCAAAGAGGGAGAGCAAGTATTTGGAGCAGCTAGACAGTCACAGGTAGCACTGGGCACATGATATGGATATTTACTGATCTGAACCACGCCCGAGGACCAAAGAATAAATCAGTTAATTGTTTTCATTGAATTCCCTTTGAAAACTTTTTATTTCAGAAGAAAAAACTCTTACAGAAGAAAAATAAGCATTATTCTCATTTCAAAAAGAAAATGGAGTAGCAAATATCTCTGTCACTTGGAAACTTCTTCCTTGGCTTCCTGGTACCATTTTCTCTAGCGTCTGCTACTTCTTAATTATTTTCCTGGACTCTTTCACTGCCTTACACTTTCTCTGACCACGACCATCCCTCAAATGTGGGTCCACCTTGGGAATCTGACCCCAGCGCTTGCCCTTGTTGTGCTCACTAAGAGGTCTGTCAGCTGTGTGAAATGACTCACACTTATAATCCTAGCATTTTGAGAGGCTGAGGCAGGATGATAGCTTGAGCCCAGGAGTTCAAGACCAGCCTGGGCAACAGAGAGATTCTGTCTCTACCAAAAATTAAAAAAAAAAAAAAATTAGCTAGGCATGGTGGTACACACTTGTGGCCCCAGCTACTCAGGTGGTTGAGGTTGGAGGATTGCTTGAGCCAGGGAGGTTGAGGCTGCAGTGAGCTGTGATCAAAACACTGTGCTCCAAACAGGGTGACAGAGTGAGACCCTGTGTCAAAAAAAAAATTAAAATTAAAAAAAGAGGCCGGGCATGGTGGCTCACACCTCTAATCCCAGCACTTTGAGAGGCTGAGGTGGGTGGATCATGAGGTCAAGAGTTCAAGACCAGCCTGACCAACATGGTGGAAACCTGTCTCTATTAAAAATATAAAAATTAGCCAGGCATGGTGGTGCACACCTGTAATCCCAGCTACTCAGGAGGCTGAGGCAGCAGAATCACTTGAACCCAGGAGGCAGAGGTTGCAGTGAGCCGAGACAGTGCCACTGCACTCCAGCCTGGGTACAGAGTAAGACTCCATCTCAAAACAAAACAAAAAAAGCCTCCTGTACTCTACAACCCCTCATCCTGGGTCCCAGCCCCCAACACACACACACACACACACACACACACACACACACGCGCGCGCGCACGCACTTCAGCCAAACCCAACTACTTACTACTACTTACTAAGACACCAAACTCCTCCATGTCTCTGTTCCATGCAAGGAAACAAAAAGGGATTTCTTTTCTTCTTTCTCTTTAATTCTTATGCATGAGCCCCAAGGTTTACATACGATTTTAGAGGAAGAGTTCATTTCAAGGACAAAGCAGTTTTTTCATCTCTCATTCAGTAGTCCTGCATCTGCATGCTCAAAGCCGGTTGGTCCTCAGCTGCTCTGCAGTTCAGCAGCAACCACAGGGAAGGTTGTGTCAGACGCTGGGCCTAGAAACGTCTCCTATCCCTTCTGCTCACATTCCACTGGAAGGGGCTCAGACACTCGCCAGCAAGGGACTCTTGAAACATAGTCTCCAACTGAGAGGTCACATATTGGGCTAGACCATTCCGTTGAAAGAATGGGAAGATAGATTTGGTAGGCAGCCAGCTGTCTGCCCACTGGGATGTGTTCACACTTCCTGGGTTCACAGTGCAGCAGAAACTTTAGTCCAGTTTCCATAAGAGAAATAAGGAATAAAGGGGAAAAGAAGACCTGATTAATTCAAATAAACGATAAACAAAAAACTATTTTACCTATGTACAAGACTGTGAGCCTGAATGTTCCACATATTTTCTTCGGATCTCTGTTTTGCTTAGAACAACTTTTTGAGAATGAAAGGCACAACACCTTTCTGAGCATATGGCCATGGGACTCATCTAAGAAGAGTAATAATGGCTAACGAAAATGTTGCTGCATGACACAGAGGGTCAAGGACATACCCAGGATGCCTCCCAATCTGAAAACGATGCCAAGTTGGAAATCAAAACAAAATCTAAGACTCTCCAAGGCAAAACATAAGGGCCTTAGACACACATATGGTTTCCATCTCTAGCTGAAAGAGCTGGATCTAAACGGAGTTTCAAAGCACATATGCAGTTTCATAAATAGAATTAGGTATATCAGGATACCTTCCAACCCAGAAGTTTAGCAATGTCCTTTGCACAACTAAAGATCTGCTGTTCTGAAATCTAGTCTTTGCTAAAGTTTCCCGGCTGGTCTTGAATCCTCATAAAATTTGGTATTCACATGTGTTGGGGAAGCTTTAAAGACTTGCTTTGTGAAAAGGCTAATAAGAATGCCAGAATTTTCATTTTAGGGTAAAGGGTATAAACTAAGCTATCCATAATTTGAACATTTGAAAAAGATCTTCAAAACATGCCTTTTGGAACTGACCTCTCAATAAAATGTACTTTCTGTCCAAACAGTTTGACCAATGAGACAGCAATCATAGTTTAAACTAAGCCATGCTACGGTCAGAAAGAATTTACAAAATCTAGAATTGTAGCTGTTTCAGATTTCATTGTCAAAATGCAATACCTAGCCTGCACTAAGACCATAAATCTGAAAATATAAAAGAAAATTTAAAAATTATGGATCTGAGGTGAGAACCTAATTGTTTCTATTTTCTCCAAATTTATTGAGCCACTGGTCAAGTCTTAATTTTATCAAGGTAATGACACACACATGGAGAATGTCCTAATTGAGGGATTTTGTTTTCAGAAAGTTTATATCCTGCCTATTTCATTTTATAAGATGTGCTATGTATACACACCACTTCCCAATAACCCTCAATTTGAGGTGGGGGTGTTGTGATGATTTGCTTTTCAATTAATTTTGGTTTGGGATTGGGTGACTTATTTGCTCACACTCATGATGCAATTCTTCTAATTGCTATGGTCCTAGGGAAAAAAGAAAGTAAAAGAAAGCTAAAATCATGTTTCTCCTTCAAATTGGTCAGTTGACCCAACTTGCATATTTTTTATAAATTTTTACCCAACCAGCACTAGATAAATAGAATAGTTACTTAAATTATTCATGAAAACCATTCCATTTGAGGTCTCTCAAATTAACTACATAAGCTGTAACAACAAAAAAAAAAGAATCCTCTAAGAATTCCCAACCTGTTCATTTGCTTGACAGTAATTGTCTGGAATAGTTAATCTACTCTGTGAGGCGAAGGCTGGAAACGAGCCAGTGTGCAAGCCTTGTGGTTAACTTCTTGAAAATTTGTTTTCCATATGAAATCAAGATAGTGCAATTGCTAGGTGAATTCAAAATTCTTTCAGACTCATCTACAAAGGTATGGCGAAGGATGTATAAATACCTTTTTGCCAATATACACGTTCTCCTCTGGAGCACAGGTTCTCTTGACTTACAGGATTTAACAGCTGGAAGCATTCTTCATTCACTCTCTCACTTACAGCTGATGACAATGAGGTTGAGACAGGTGATGTCATTTCTATAGGGTTCACAACACTTTCTGACTCCCATGCCGGCGCTCCTTATCACATAGCCTGCTGCCGAACTCATCCCAATATTCATCTTGAGGAAAGCTAGTTGTGGAAATCCTGAGATCACATTGTCAATGCTAGAATAACCTTAGTTTGTAGTGGAGCATTTGAAAAGCTGATAGGAAGTCATAGGTATGGAAAATGTGGCCATTTCAAGATACTGCCGAAGGAAGAGGAAATTCTCAAGGGGAACAGGCTCATGTACAGGCTGCTGTTCTTCTGAGATAAACTAGCAGGAATCTTCCTGAAGATCATCCTGGAAAGAAAAGGAAAGATTTCTTTGCTGATTCTCTCCATTACCAATAAGAGAGGTAAACGCTGGCAAACCAGCAACATGGAGAATTGGCATCTTAGTTCCGGGAGCTCTCACTTATTCACCTGTCAGAGATGGGTTAATGAACGCAGTTGGCAGTGCCTGAAGCTCCCTGTTGGGGGAGCAAGTCGTGACCAACCTTTCCCTTTCTGAGAGGTTTCAGCTGAAGGAGGATCCTCTTGGTCTTTGAAGACGAAGCCCCAAGAATCAGAGAAAGGTGGCATTTAGTTAGACAGGACCTCTGGCTCTTTGTTTAGGAGTATTAGAAAGAGGTTTTCTTTTAACAAAGGATAGCCCCTTATATCCCAACGCTGGTTTCATGCTGCCTTCTAATAAAGGGGTTTTCTAGAAGCAGCGCCAGTCACATACCAGAGCAGGACTTTTCACTTGCATTTTCATGGGTAGTTTGGGTTCTTCAGGAGCCTCCATGACGTAGAGCTGCTGTTCTATGACTGGAATGTCCACGCCCGCGGGAACTGGATCAGAGAATATGGAACAGAGGATTAAACTACACACAACATATGCAGGCTTAGCTGCCCCAGATCTCGCCATGTGTGTGCCAGGCGGTGAGCTGCATTACATGATACTGACCACCTCTCTTCATGGCCAGAATCTCCAATGATAACTGATATGTTCACTCTCTTAACTCACGGTCACCATTAGATCCATAAATATTCACTTTATGCTTTATTAGGCACTGTGTCGGCACTCTTTAAGCTTCCAAGAGTAGAATATGATGTTAATTCTCTGCTGTCCGAATCTTATTGGGGGTTTCCTTCCCTTCCCTTCTCCTTCTCCAACCGCTAGTCCCATTTTGCCAAGATTAAGAACAGATTCACAGTAGAGCAGAATGGACACCGAGTATCTTCCAGGGATTTTTGCGCCTGGTGTGATATGTGTTTGTTATGTCTGGTGATTACTAATGGAGACAGAGCCTCAGATTCTCCACTGCTTTGAAAGGCGGAATGGTAACATATGGATTCTGCACTGCACTCTCCTTTTAACTAACCTGCGGGAGCACCTGTGTCAGGCTGAGTTGTTCCAGAACAGCATATCAATTAGGCAAGCAGAGGCTTAAGGGGTTTTTTGCAAACCTTCCTACCAAATGCTTCTCTCCAATTTAGTCTGTGGGTCTTTCTATTTCAGTACCTGTCACCTTATTACCTGGTCTCTTCGAAATGATGACCACTTAAGAAAAAAACAACAGAAATAAGTGAAGAATACAAAAGAAAAAAATCATCTTTCTTCTTCCAAAACATCCTCTGACCAGCAAAACTTTGGAAGCTACAAAATATCCAGAAATACTCCAGTGGCAGAGCTGAATAAAACCATATAAATTTCCATATGATCTGTGTTTGCTGGGACACACTATGCTATGCTATAGTAACAAATAAAGGCCAAAGTAGCAGGGGCTCAGCCTTATAGAAGCCTGTATCTTGCTCATGCAAAGTCTGGTGCAGGTCAGCAGGGCTCTCTTCCATCTGGTGTCTTAGAGATCGAAGGTCTTTCCATTCTGCACTGCTATCATTTCAACACCAGGCTCCCAGGGGAAGAGAGAGCATGGGAGACTCTTAAGTGCCTCAGAACACAAATGATATGCCTCTTTACTCAAAGTCCACTGGGCAGTGCTGGTTAGATGACCTTGAACTACTTTCAGGGCAACGTGAGTCTCCCCATGTGCTAAGGAATGAATACCCGGATGTGGTGAGCACTAGGTGTCTCTAGGGCTTCCATCCATGGCCCAACTCATACTCTGTGGAGCAGGCGTTTTCATTACAACCATCTTCACAATTGTTAGCAACAGCCACATCTGACAAGTAGCCAATCCCATTGCTTTAGGACCTCCCAGTGACCTCACCATAATCCCAAGGCCCTGCCTCCCAGACCCACATGAGGGACCAGGATTTCTCATCACCACCTTCAAAAGATCATGGCATTGGTTTTTGATCTGGAGATTTAGATTAACTTCTGCTGCACCAATACAGTCACCAAAACATCAAGAGTAACAAGAGAAAAAGACTTAATTCTCCAGGATCTCTTATAGCATGAGAAATCAGATTTTCGTGAGGAAAATACTTTCATAAATTGGTTGGGTATAAAAATCACAAATGTTGAGGAATCATGTGTTAGACATAAAGATGAAGTTATCCCAGAGGAGGGAGAAAAAAGGCAAAAAGGGTGGGCCTAATCGAAGACTAGGGGGATTCCTAGGAGGGGGTCCTATCTTGGAGAATGATTCTCCGATAAAGCTGCTAAACTGAGAGCAGGCTTGAGAATGACCTTCCATGAAAATAATGGCATGGACTAGGAAGGTGACATTCAGGCACTGAGGTGAAGGGAGGCTGAAAGAAGAAAGCATTAAGGAATAGAAATTGCAGGAAGGACTCTGAGTTCTGCCAAGGCCATGGAATGAGAATTCCAGTCAAATTTGACCAGATCCTCTATGGCAGGGGCCCAGCTGACCCCTGGCTCACACAGTAAGGAACTTAACTTGACTGGGTATGGACTGGTGAAGCCCTCCAGCCAAGCCACAGGAAAGGAGGAGTAGCTACGGCAGAGTAGTTGCCTTGTTTCATGCTGCCCTTCAGATGTCTCAACCTTACATCTCCTGAACACCTGCAGTGAAAGGGTATGCTTTCACTTCTTAGGGGACATCCCAGTTGGCCTTATATCATATGGGAATTGCGTTTTGCTTCCTCCAGCTCCCCTCCCCTCTGCTCTACACACACATCTTGAGAACTAGGACCTAGGGAAATGTGCCTTCTCCCCAGGACTCAGCACTGCATCTGGCCTATCATGGACACTTACTCACCTTCCCTAACTTATCAGGTGGGGGTGGTGACAGAGATCATACAGGATACAGGAAAGGCAGTGCAGCACAATGACTGGCAGCAGGGATAGGGCATGTGGTCACACTGGTGTGAACCACAACTTCGATCCTAATTTCTAGGAAGAGCAATCATCTCTTAGGGCTGTACTGGAGACTAAGTGAGAATAAGAATGTGAAACTAAGTGTCAGAGCCAGCATACAGTGAGCCTTGGAGAATGTTGTCTGCTTGACTAGCTAATGCCCTCTGAGAGTGTGGACAACAGAAAAAAAAAAAAAAAAAGCTATCTTGGAGGTGAATCACCCAGAAACCAGCCCAGCTGGGCTGGGGAAATATTGGGAAATGAACAAATCGGTGCCGGGAACCCTCCAAGTGACCTGGAGCAAGACGGTCTCTCAACATGAGAAAGTTCACTTTGTCTTAGTGAGAGAATTAACAACGACTGAGAAATGCAGGCATCAGCCAAGTGAACTGGGAGATGTGAAAAGGCAGGGGAAGGCAGAGGCACTTCCCAGAAATCTGGAAAATACACAAACGGCAGAGATCATCGCTGGTGGCCAGTGTATTCCCCACTTCTTCTACAGTACTTGCTTTTTGCAGGCACTGGCCGACAGTGTAGAGACAGCTAGGTATGGCCCTCGACCGAGGCGCAGCCCGTGGGACATAAGTGAAAGTGTGTGCTGTAGCGTCTGGGAACCTTCTTTAAGAGACAGCAGGTATCTGCCCTTTGCCACATCTTCGTCACTCCTCTTTCTTGCTAGAGGGAATACCGGCGTGATGGGCAGTGCTACAGCAGTCATCTTGGACCTAGATGTATCCTGGGGAATGGAAACCCATGTGGAACCAGAAGAAAGAAGAAGCAATGAGCAATGGAGGCCAGACACCCCAGTGTCCAGTGTGTCAGATAAGCAAAGTCGCCCCCACTCCAGAGGAGACAGAGAAAAGAGGGGAGGAGGGTGTCCAGATTTTTATGTAAGAAAGAAATAAACCTCTATCTTGCCAAAGCCACAGTTATTCTGGATCTCTCATTTTATGCACAGTCCAACTCAATCCTCAAAGGTAGTAACTTACTCTACCTATGTGGCCGTTGATGACATTTCCACTTACCAGCCTTGGCTGTTCATTATATTTCTATTCAATTGTTCTGGGATGCTAGCATTTATTATAACATTAATCTTATTTTAACAGTGTTATAATCTCACTCCCATTTAACTGCTCTTCAAAATGAAGATTGAATGTCAGTTCTACTATTGTCCATCTTGTCTGGACATTGTAACAGTTTTCACAGATCTATTCTTCAAAAAGCGGGGATGGAGGGAGCAGAAACGGAGCTTCTCAATTTTGCCTAGAGCTGGCCTAAGGAGCACCTTATTCTGCAGTGGGAACACATACAAAGAAAATATTATTTGAAAAGGATTCTGGCCTCCCTTCATCCAAAAGAATCATCCCCTAACACGAACTTGGCATTCTCTGTTACTCACCCAATGTAAATTGGTTTTCCTTCTGGGTGAGCAGTGATTTGCAGAGATCACCGGGTGCAGGGCAGCTCTTGATACGGGGCCGGGTTGTCAGGGGCCGCTGTGCACGTTCAGACAGCTCCTCTGCCTCCGTGGACCGGGAGAGACCGCCTGCTGGCTCTTTGGATTGTGCTACCGACCCAGGCTGGAGAATGAGAAAGGAAGGCACGAGAAGTGATCCTAGCCAGGTGGTGCTGGGCATTGCCACATGTCATCGTCTTCCTGACTGATGGGAGGTCACCTGGTAAGGCCCAGGGCCCCCACCCCTCCACTGTGACTGCCTCTGTCGGGCAAGCCTGGGATACAAACTGATCTGTTATTTAGTTGGAAGGGATATTTTTAACACCTTGTGTGTTTAGGTTGCTTTATTCTTTCACCAGCCTTCACAGGTATGAGTCTAGGTAATCTTCATAACGGCTTTTGGAAAGTAGGCCTGGAGGATACTGTTCTCAGTATTTCCAGTGGAGGAAATCAAGGCTCTGAGAGCCACCTCCTATAACTTCTGTAGCTGGAGCCCTGCTCCTTCTTGCCTGGCCTCAGGACAGCCAGGAAGCTGGGACAAGTGCATGGATGGCAGCTGGGAGGGGAGGCTGGCAAGAGGCTCTGGGTTTCTCCCTGCACACTGCCTTCCCTGGCACAGCCTCTGCTCGGAGTCCCCAGCAGGCAATGCCAGCCCTACACAAGACAGAGACCTGGGGCCTCACACTTCACCTCGCCCGCGCCTCCGAAGGCCCAGCAATTACTTGAGAATCTGACTTTGGTGATTTAATTGCTTTTTCCTTAAAGATGGAGAATCTATGTAATTTCTCCTTTTTTTCTTTTACTACAGCCGGAGTAGTAAATGCTACCTACTGCCAACAAACATGGGCATCCACTCTTTCTTCAATGCCTCTTCCGTGAAACATCTGAACTGAAATAAGAGGTGTATCATCCAGAATGAATAACCAACGGGGCCAAAAAAGGCCTAGACTGAAGAAACAAGTTAACATGTGAGTGTTCTCCAGCAAAGGTCCCTCCACAGAGACACAGTCAGCCATGCAGCCAGGGGACGCAGACCCACAGCTCTCGTGCTGATTCAGGACTGCAGAAGCCAGGGAGTTGGTGTCCTGGGCATCCTGGCAGTTCTTCCCACGTGGGCACAAATGAGCAATGCGCACCAAGCTGCACTGTCCCCTCTGCTGCGATTTCACTGCAGAAGAGCCGAGGAAGGTTAGGATGTAATTAACAGAGCAGAGTGACCTGTGACGGGGTTAACCGGCAGAGCAGAAGCAGCCATAAATCAGCATCCTGGCCTCACGCACGCACCAGCAGGAGGAATCACGCTAGGGGCCTTAAGTCAGCCAAATCAAAAGCGCTACCAGATCTAGAGGGTGTTTTCTTTTCTAGAACCTAGAATAGGTCTCTAGAGACAGATGGACGCTTGGTTTCTGAAAACTGTAAAACAGGGAGGCAAGATGCAATATGCACAGAGAATTAATGTCAGTTGTGTTTATGGCTTTTTTTTTTTTTTTTTTGCTTGCCAAAAAAGAGTGGATTTCTTATTCTCATGTGGTGAAAGATGTGCTCTGTTTTCTTTAAAATCTAATAGTATTTTTGGTAACAAAATGGAAAAATATGAACCTTCCTTTGTTGCTTTCATTGAGAATTGATAAAATCTTATCTATGAACAGACGTTAAATAACCATGATGTCAAAAGAGCAAGACCATTTGTTGAATACTTATTATGTGCTGGGTGCTAACCTACCTTAGCTCTTTGATTTTTTTCACACCTTTCAGAGGTAGGTTTAGTGGGGACCATTTTGCAGATGATGAAACTGAGGCCCAGAAAAATGAAATACATTTTCTAAAGTCACACAACTAATTAGTGTAAGAAATAGAATTCCAAGGTTCAAAAGATACAAACTGGAAAGTTATCATTTACCATTGAATTTTCATACCTTGTCACACATCAGAATTGGTAAGAATCTTACATAGGGTAAAGGTGTAATGGTATAAACTATCTGTTCTTTTTTTTTTTTTTTTTTTTTTGAGACAGACCCTCACTCTGTCGCCCTGACTAGAGTGCAGTGGCACAATCTCAGCTCACTGCAACCTCTGCTTCCTGAGTTCAAGCGATTCTCCTGCCACAGCTTCCTGAGTTGGTGGGAATACAGGTGCCTACCACCATGCCCAACTAATTTTTGTATTTTTAATGGGGTTTCGCCATGTTGGCCAGGCTGGTCTCAAACTCCTGGCCTCAAGTGATTCACCCACCTCAGCCTCCCAAAATGCTGGGATAGCAGGCATGAGCCACCATGCCTGGCCATCCTAACCGTTCTTGACAACTGATCCTGTGCAGGCTACCTGACTTGCACTGTTTGAGAGTCATTAAATTCTCATGGTCAGAACTCAGTATGTATTGTTCTTGCTAGTACTTCATCAATACCTCTTAGCACCTCTATATTTCCATACCCATTGTAGAGATAAAGAAAGTAAGGCTCATAGTATGCAATTTACCCAGTATCTCACACAGCAAAGAAGTGTCAGGGCCAGGAAGACACTGAAACGCTCTTGAATTCTAAAACCCATATCTCTCCCACTCCTTCACACAGATGCCGTCAATAAGGAAAGAGAAAAGAGAGCCTTTGGCTGTACCTTCCAGATTGCTTTCTTTGCTTATTTTAAAATAGAGTTAAGCCGGGTGCAGTAGCATGTACCTGTAGTCCCAGCTACTCAGGAGGCTGAGATAGGAGGCTCCTGTGAACCTCGGAGTTCAAGGTTGTAGTGAGTGATGATCATGTCACTGCACTCCAGCCTGGGCAACAGAGTGAGATACTGTCTTAAAATACTAACAATAATAATGATAGATTGACCAAAGTCAGAAGTAGATAGGGAAGGAGTCAGGCAGGTAGACTCTGGTCTCGTGAACGCCTGGTGGCTGAATGTCACAAAGAAGGGACACCAGTACCTTGGGTGTTGAGGCTGCAAAAGGAATACCATAGCACTTCATGCAGAAAACTACACGGATGCAGGGAAAGATTTGGATAAAAAGGGATTGGACTTTTGACGTGAAATATGAGCTCCGAAAGGCTCACAAGTGGCCAGGGTTACTAAATAATTAATCAAGAGCAGGCGGGTGGCAGTTTGAAATGTAAATGGGATGGAGGAAGGTGTGATGCTGTCATCCGGGAGAGGCTGATGTGGCTGGAGCGCTGAGCCACCGTGCCAGCTCCCGGGAAGGCGTGGGCACAAAAGTGCAGTGGGGCCATCCGACAAAGAGGCCCAGAACCCACAATTCCTGCCTTTGACCTGCAGTTCACTTTCATGTCCCTGTCCCCAAAGAGATGTTAAAAAATGATGAAGAACTGGCTAGGCATGAGGGAGGGGAAGCAAAGCCATCTAAAGAAATACCTGTGTCAGGCAGCGGCCGACACACTTGAGAACATCTTTAATTTTCCTTATGTTTTCTTGGTTCTCAAAAAAAAACGCACCTTTTGTCTGCCCTCTCTCCCCTTTCTTCCCAAATTCTCTGGAGTTCTTCCTGCAAGTGGTTCTGTGTGACTCAAAGGCAATGAACAGCTGCAAGCAAAGGAACAAAAAGGAAGATTGACAATAGGAAAAGGGGCAGGTGAGAGAGACTCCCTTTACCTTATCAAACCAGAAAATGCTGTGGCTTAAATAGCAAAAAAATAAAGTCTGCGGAAGATGAAATGTCTCTCTTCTCACTAAACAGTGATAAAAAAAAATCTCTGTTTTAGAAAAATATGACAGCTTGGCATTCAAATCACAGCATCTTAGATCCGGAAGGAATGCTCATGCCTAGCATAGCCCGGTACTTAGTAGGTGTTAGATGTATATTCATTCTTTCTGTGTGTTCCTTTCCTTGTTTATTACACCTTCCTGCACAGGCCAGCCATCCTCCCCTTAAATCGGCTAGTCTCTCCAAGCTTCGGTGTAAGCCCCGGAAAACAGAGGTAACTTTGGTGCCCACCTGGTAGGGTCGTGCGTGTCAAGGGCTGAGCCCATGCCTGGCACTGGAGTGATCTGGTGTAGTGATCGGTGTGTTTGTCATCCCAGACTCAGGAAGCAACCTGCGCATTCCTTGGTTTGTGTGGGGAAACTGACAACATGGCTGGGCAGCAAAAGCACGGGGTTCCAGGCAGGGGTGGCAGGAGAGGCAGCTGGTGAGGAGGAGTGGGCCGGGGTGTCTGCTGTGGGAGAAGGGACTTGCTGAGGCCTGTGGAGGTTGGAGGAGGAGGCAAGGGGGGCACTGCCCCACTGGAGAGCAGGCTCAGGAGGTCCTCACTAGGTGCCCTGAGGATGGGCATGGAGGGAGGGAGTGGATAGTGTAAAGGACTCTGAGGAGTGGGGCTATTTGTGCTCCTCATCACCACCTCAGTGCCTTGGGATGGGGCGAGGGGGCTGAGAGGGGTGGGGGCCACACTGCCAGCTCCTTCAGGGGCTAGATCTATGGAGGAGGTTTTTAGCAGCCTGGAGGTGGAACTGGTGTTTTCTGCTTCTTCTCCCTCCTGACAGCTGCTCCCCGCCTCCTGCCCCTTTCCTTCCTCTCCATTCCTCTCGTCTCCCTTTCTCCTCTCCCTTGCTTAACTTTCTTACCTCCTCTAGCAGAAAAAAATCAGGAGTCCCTCCCCTAGAAGTCTTATTTTGCAGGAAGTCGTGACCCTGCAGGCCAGAGCCGAGGGCAGGAGCAAAGGCAGCTGAAAGGAGGCAGGGGAAGCTCTGTTTGGTTCTAGGGGGTTCTGCTCCCATCCCGCCTCCCTCTCTTCACCCTCCTGCTCCCATGCCCATTACTTCAGATTTTGGCCAACTGGAAATCAACTGTAGACTTGCACAGCTCTGGCTACTTTCTGAATAGGGTCTCATTAAAACACACAAAGTAATCCACAATGGAAATAAAAGTAGAACAGAGCCAAGCGCTGCAGCTTTTCCTCTTATGTAGAACAAATTGCTATGAGGCACACATTGTTCCAGATTCGAAATCCTGGTTCTTAATGCCTTACAATTTAGGGAGACAATATCACCTAACTCAAGCTCATGGACACTTTCTTTTCCAAGAATTTATTACATGTGGTATGTATTCTTTAGGAAGTTTCTCTAGTTCATAATTTTAAGACTATATGGGCCAGGGCTTTTAAAACTCTGTAATTTATTTCTGCTATAAAATATACATACAGAAATTGTATCAGCTAGAAAAATATTAATTTTGAGAAATCGAAAGCTAACTTAGATTTGATTTCGGGAATGTTTTCCAAACAAAAGAAAATAATCCTAAAGTCAGAACTCAGAGCTTTTTACTATATTACAAGGAAGGCATGTAGAGGAATTGGTGTGTGTGTGTGTGTGTGTGTGTGTGTGTGTGTGTGAGACTTCTCAAAGAACTGCAGATTTACACACACAGCATTGTAACCAACTTCATCCTTATCTAATAGGCACTGAGTAGCTTACAGCTTAACGTTGTGTGAGATGGATTTAAGTTCAATAGCAAAGAAAGAGTTCCTGGCAATGAGGGTTGTGAGGACATTTGTAGAGGTTGCCTAGGGGGACGGGCCCATCATTCCCTGGATTCAGCCTAAGATGAACGCCAAGAGAAAATTTCCCAGATTACCTCATCCCACAAATCCTCCCCAAGACCACCTGGATTTCCACATGGGTTGAAGAGTAGATTGAGAGCACAAAGGCCAAAGACTAGCCCAGACACTTGCCAGCATGGGATCTTGAGCAAGTCATATGCTCAGAATCAATTTTTCAGTTACAGGGCAAACATGGTAAGAACCATACATCCGTCCTAGGTTTGTGGTGATGTTAAAGAGGGTGGAAAAGTGCCTATTAGGGTGAAGACTCCTACAAGTGTTGGTCACTAGTAGGTGCTGCATGAAATTCACAGATCGAAGGGCATGATTCCTGTCCCCAAAGGGATTAAAAACCTGCAGAGGTACTAATGATAAAGTTTGCAAGTCCTTGGTCTAAGTTGCAATTTTTTCCCTGCATATGAGAAATCTGTTAAGTTGTGGAAATAAGTCATTCAAAGGCCAAAGTACTACATACCTCATCTTAGGTGACCAACAAGTTCACGCCGAGCCCTAACAGCCCACGTGCTAAGGAAGGTCACAGTGTCCATCTGAGCAGTTACCCCAGCTAAACTTAGACTTAGTGTAGGCCCATACAGAGGATCAAACACTGGTTCCACCTCAAGGAACTTCCTTGGCTGACCTCATGAGTGGAACCCCTCAGTAACATTTCTGCTGTGGGAAAGCCTGCCAGACCCATCAGGGTCTTCATGCCAGAAAGGACGCACCTCCAGAAACTCCTGGCTCTCGTGACCAACTCTGAGGTGGCAACCCCTCAAAATCTGACCAGAGAAAAGACCACTGCAGCAGTGCGGGCCTCACGAGCAAGCGTTGTCACAAATTTGCCTTTGGAATGTACTTCCCGTTTCCCCTCAATATCCCTGTTGTTACCTGACTGAAAGCCACAACGAGAACAATATCTGCGTGTCTCTGGTCATCGTTTTGCTTTCCTCTGAAGCTGGAATAATTATCCTACAGGTATCAGCTGTGGCAGAAGGTGGCAATAGTTTGTACTATAAGAATATTTCAAAAGGTTGCACTAAGCCGAGATAGCATCACCACATTCCAGCTTGGGAGACAGAGCAAGACTCCATCTCAAAAAAATTAAAAAAAAAGAAAGACAAATATCACATGTTCTCATTCATATGTGGGAGCTATAAAGGCGACCTCATGGAGGTAGAGAATAGATGACAGTTACCAGAGACTGAGGCTGGGAAGGGCAGAGGGGAAGGAGGAGTTAAAAATGGTTGGTTGAAGGGTACAAAAACACAATTAGATAGAAGAAATTAGATCTGGTGTTCTGTAGCACAATAGAGTGACTACAGTTAACAACAATTTATTGCATATTTCAAAATAACTAAAGAGTAGAATTGAAATCTTCCTAAGACAAGGAAATGATAAATGCTGAAGGTGATGGATATCCCAATTACTATGATTTGATCATTACACATTGTAGGCTTGTATCAAAATATCACGTGTACCCCAAAATATCACACGTACCCCATAAATATATACGATAATGATGTATTCATAAAAATTAAACTTTTTAAAAAAGAATATTTCCAGGGATATAACCTCAGAGGTAGGATAGTATCTGAAACAGAACTTACTGGGCACAATAAGTGCTCTGCCCATCTTCAGGACAGAACTGTAGACAAATCTGGTCTAGCTTGTCTCCACTGACCATCCCTTCCCTGTTGCTTGTGTCTTTCCACGACATAAGGCTCAGGACCTTGAGATGGCAAGAAACCTCCAATTCACAGGAGCCATAGGTCATACCTCCAACACCCAGTGGAATGAGTGCCTACCAGTTCCTAGCCCATAGACACAGGGAGGCCTGACCTTCTGGAAGCCAAGTACAGTACAACCTACATCTTCCACCAGAACCATCTCAGGTGTCTCACTGTCATCACTAAGAATTTAAAATATGATGTCATTTCGTTTGTTTGTTTTTGAGACAGTCTCACTCTATTGCCCAGGGTGGAGTGCAGTGGCACAATCAAGTGATTCTCCTGGCTCAGCCTCTTTAACAGCTGGGATTACAGGTGCCCACCACTGTACCTGGCTAATTTTTGTATTTTTAGTAGAGATGGGGTTTCATCACGTTAGCCAGGCTGGTCTCAAACTTCTGACCTTGCGATCCACCCACTTCGGCCTCCTAAAGTGCTGGGATTATAGGCATGAGCCACTATGCTTGGCAAAAGTGTGATGTCTTTTTTGCATAAAGTAAAATTGAGAAAAAATAAAAATGCGTATGGTCTACGTATTTTTAGGAGTTATATGTAAAATGCTCATATGCAGAATGTTTTTAGTACACAGGAAGGAAGGGTAGCAAAATGCTTTCTTGGTGGCATTGCCTCCTCCACTAACTACTCACAAAATAGTGAAAAATGAACATCCTGCTAGATCCTTTCCTGAAGATATGAGTGGAAAGGACAGAGGACTATATGTCTCTCTCAACCCCAATCTGGGGCATTAGCTGCATGCACGTGGCCTCAGATGCCATCTCTCTGGGTCAGCTTCTGTCCATCCTGGGCTGGTAGATGGTTCCTCAGCCCCAGCCTGGCAGGGTGAGCTCTGGCTGGAGAGACAGCTACTGCTGAAACTTGAATGAGGGAGGCTGTGTTCAAAGGGCTCCACCACCTGAACTGAGGTTTTTGCTCCTGAACTTACTAGATCAATGTTTGCATTCCTACAGCTTGATGACTGCATGTTGCTCATCATTGTTATAGAGAAAGATAATCCTGACACATGCCATAACCCACCTGAATGTAAGATGAGGTTCATTCAATTTAGAGAGAGTCCATGAACTCAGCCCTGTTCCTTTCTCTACCTGGTATCTCTTCCTTGAGTATCCCCAAAACTCATACTCCTTTGCCAAAGCGCCTAAAAAGAGTGGAAAATGAAATCATTAAAACTCAAGAACTCAGGAAGAGAGCATGGGTCAGAGTATAACATGTTATGTACTCAGAATCCAATTATCAGGGTAAAAACCACACCCACGCACGATCAGCCGTGCAACCAGGAACTACACTTTTGATCTGAGTCCCAGTTTTCCATGCTTATAGCACAGATGTTCCAAATTCGCTCTGCCTTTCCAGGATCTAGGGGTAAGGCCTATATAAGATAAAGCACTTGACAGCCCCCAGACCAGGCCCCACCCCTGCACAAAGTGCTCAGCGCAGGTTGATTGTAAAGTACTGAGGGAGCATCTGCTAAAATCACACCACTGATGGCAGCGATCAGGGGTTTAACACTGCTAAAAAGTCTGCACCAACCTGTAAAAGACATGGCAAGATCCTCGCTCTTCTCTGAAGCCACGCCCTTTGCCTGTCCCTGGAGCCCGCTCTCTGCAGGAGAACCTGGAGCTGATCTCCAGAACACAGCTGCTCTCAGCCTTTTAAGCCAGGGCCCCGAGAGGCACTACCAGAATACCAGATCACCAAGAGGCAGGGCAGCCGAGGCTCCGAAATGGAGGAGGAGCCCCTTGTTTACAAGCCAGGACCTGCTGCCTGCCTGGAAGGGCTCTGGCAAGAGAAGAAACCCCTTAAGCCACAGCTGGGGGAAAGGATCAGGTAGTGAGCTCCTCTCCGGCCCAAATCACAGGGAAGGCAGGGCCCACACCTGTATGGATATGAGTGCTCTCCTGTGACCAGGACGGAGCTTGGTACTGGGAGGTGCACACCAAGTACTGATGAATGCCTGACTGTCCTAGACGGAGAACGAGGACGGGTCGCATATGCTTGCCCCAGGGCACAGATGGGGGAGCCACAGAGAGCCCCAGGATGCAACTGTCCCACAGTAGTGGGGCTGGAAGCAGAGGGAGGAAGGCCTCCAGGGGAGAGAAGTGGCCAGAGAGCCTCTGCCTGCTTTCTGCCACTGCCGCAGCCGGCCCTGCAGCGGCGTTTCTGGCTCCCTTCCTCAGCCACCTTGCGGAACAGGCAGGCCCAGCGGTGTCTCAGTCTGAAATGCCCAGGCACGGCACAGCGAGACTGCTAAACTCTAGCACTCCCTGGACTCAGCTCAGCCCCGCAGCGAGCATTCTTAATCTCCTGTTCTGGGGACAGATTTTGCAGCCCGTTCGCATCTTCCCAAGCCTCGCTCAGATCTGGGCACATGGCACAGGAAAAGCGCTGCAGAACCGATCTAGAGAACAGCGGGTGTCGGGAGGCGGGAGTCGGGAGGCAGGAATCATCTCAGCAGTCCCTCTCTGGATTGGGAGGAGGAACATTCCTAATGCATTTGCTTACTGCTGGGGAGGAGGCTCCTCTTCTGAAAGAAGCCACTCCCTCTTCCCACCACCGGCTCCTGGCTTTATTGCTCTTCTCAGGCACTGCCATTGCCATCACCTCCTCATCAACACCTGGCTTCTTCTCTCGCTCTTATTCTCTCCCCTTACCCCTGCCTGTCCTTTTAATACTTTCCAAACACATCTCCAATCCACTCCTCTCCTTCTCCCCAGCTCCAGGCCACCCTGGCAACTGCGTCTGTGCACTGCCTCAGTATCCCCCCTGCTAAACATGCGGCCCACAGCTCACTAGTTTCTGACCTTTCTTCTAATCCATACACCAAGATGTCCCAAAGTGTTCTTTGTAAAAAGTAAATCTAGCAGGGCCTTCCCACAGCTGAAAACCATTTGTGACTCTCTCGGCCCCTGTTCTCAGCCCAGGCTTCCGTTCCCCTTAGAAGGGTGAGCCCTGGCTTCACCAAACTGTCACCTTCTGAGCACTCACCAAAAACCCTGCTAAGCGCTTTCATAAAAATTCCCATTGAATCCTCATGATGTCACTGGAAGGAGGCATTGCTGTCTGCATTTTACTTGTGAGGAAGCTGAAACTGGAAGGGCTCCATCATTTGTAGACAGTAAGGCAGTAACCCAGCCCCGATCCTCAGTAAGGCAGGCAGGCAGGCACGCAGGCAGGCAGGCAGACAGATCCGGGCCTAAGGGCCCTGGCCCCTCCCACCTCCAGTGGCTCCCAGGACCACTTACAAGTTTCAAGTCTTTCCTAGCTTCCCAAGGCCAACTGCAAGAAGTTTATCATTCTCTTCCAGGTGCCCCCATAATGAAAGCACGTGTCCCTCTGCAGCTTAGTTGTACATCTTTTTTTATCCCCAGAGTGGATGACTTGAAGATAAGAATCATCTCGAGTCCTCACTGCTTAACATAGAGCTGTACTCAGGAGAGTTAATCTAACTAGTAAATGGTCAGCAAAATGAATGAGTGGATGAATGAATATCACACATTCAAGTGATCACATTCCCCATCTCTTCCACAAGAAGTCTCAATTTATTGGCTTGGCTGTGTTAGTTATGTTGGAAACAGGTTTACCGGTTACAGAATAGTATCAGGGCAAGGTTACATTTTCAACATCTAAGGGTGGAATGGCCCTTACGATAAATGTGTTGTGTTTTTGTCAGCATTGTCGCTGTTGTTGTTTACTACAGAATGTCACCATGCCTGAATCTTAAGCAGACAGGCTTGGGCTCCATTCACAATTTTTCTGCTTTAGAAAAAGTTATGATCACAGAAGGGGACGTTGGCACTTGCCAACTGCCAGAGCCCCGCAGCAGCTTTGGTCTCAGCACAGGTGGATTTTCTTTACCGGTGATCTGTCCCCGTGCTGCCTGTGCAGTTTGTCCCGCTGACGATGTGGGTGAAGGATGAAGCCAGGGCTCACCCTTCTAAGGGGGACATTGAGATTCCCGGGCATTGTACCAATTCAGCCATATGTCACCCCAGAAAGTAACTGCTTTTTCCATATATGATCATAACTAATGTTGCAAAGCCTGTTTTGCCTGGATCCTTTTACAGAACCTATGCAAAATATGCTGTGCGCTTTCACTCCAGATTTCTTTCTTAGGATGAATGGCTCTGTGAATACACGGGAACAAGCTCTTATTCTGTTCATCAGGAATCATCATTATTCCATAGGCTAATTCCCTGCGCATTAGTTAGATGGGGTAAAGTTCTGGCTCATGCACAGGAGCTGATGGAAACAGAGATCCTAGTGGCCAAATACATCCTAATGTTCTCCTTTCAATTCTTTCATTTTTTCTGTCTTTACCTTTTAGAAAATGTTAATGTATTCCTGATGAATTCAGTGTGAAAAAAAAATATGTTTATCAGCTTGGGTTTAAAATTTTTATTCATAATAAGAATATAGTAGCACTGCCAGGACCCTCCAAAGCCAATCCTCAGATCTTCACCAACTCCTTGGGGCATCGTAAACAAGCTGACCACGCAGAAGAGTTACAAGAAAGGGATTCCCATGCCAAAACAATAAGCAAGCGTATTTTCATTAGGTACTGATGCTTTGTTCTTTCCATGAGCAGGGATGAAGGAAGTATGCTCTGGTAGCAATAACCCTGCAAGTTGTCATTTGGTAACTGCATAAGTTGTGCCTTTAGCCAGGGCCAAATGGATGATAAACTTGTCACTGCTAACAGGCGCTAGTTATTTGGAGCAATCCACACTTTTTCTTGCAAAATCACACTACTCAATTTCTTGACTACATTTCCTCATCTATAAAATGGGAGAGAGGGAAGATAAGCTCTGCGGCCCTTTTGCACTCTGCGATCTCTAAGTGCCTTTGCATTTCCATCCAGCCCCACCCCACCCCATCCCAACTAGGGGGTGGATGCCCACAGTCCCCCACCCTGGCCCTGCCAGCATTGCAAAGCCTACTGAGGATTTGCACAAGTAAACCCACCTCAGCAGCTTCACTGCTCCCCTTGGTAAATAACTGCATACAGAAAGCCTGCAGGTTCTCAGGCTGCATCCAGCGCCACAGCTGGGTTCTTTAGTTTGTTGTGAAAAGAATTCCAGCATGACACAGCTCCTCTCAGCACAAAGACCTGCTGAAGCACTAGGAAAAAAAAACTGTTTAAAGAATGCTTCTGAAAGCCAGGCAGCCAGGAGAGAGATGTAGGCTCAGGCCAGCCTCCTCCCTGCCGGGGCCTGGACCTGTTGCCTGGGCTCTGCTCCTCTCAATGGTAAACAGAGCCGTTCACGAATCACCAAGGCTCAGAACCGCGGGTCCGGTCACAGGGGTGCCTTGGACGCCTCCTGGGCATCTGCAGCAAACAGTGCTGCCTGCACTGTGGTCAGAGCTGGGACAGCCAGTCCCGCCCGTTGTTTGATTTCTAAACCTGCCTCCACCTCCCCAAGGCCTCTGAGAGCTCAGGGCTTGCAAATCAACACAACATTTAATTAACTGCACATTAAAGTTTCCATCTTTCAAAGAAGGGAATTAGGGACAGTGCACTTTCTGAAGCATTCATTAATGAAAAAATAAATTCTAAAGCCTCCCGAGTTCGGGGTGATCCTTACCGTTCTAGGTGGCTTCCTGCCTTAATGCTCAGGGCAAGTTCCCTGAGATGAGCTGCGATCTTCAGGGTCCCCTTCCAGACAGGTGTTTTTAACCCTCTAAGACCCAGCCTTGGTTTTTCCCCACACCATGCAGCCTGAATAATCCTTAAGAGTCTTCAGGAAATATTCAGAAGTGTTTCCAATTATATTGAATTATGAATTCTTTTTTATTAAAATAAAAGGTATACAGAAGTTACTTTTAAAAGAGGCATGAATAATATAAACAACTGTCTACGCTACCTATGAGATGGGTGTAAGCTGCTATTACCCTTGAGAATGACAGAGGCACACACGTTGCTGGCATGGAGGGACACGGCCATCAGCTTGACAGTGGGGAGGGATAGAGACCCAAAGAAGACCAAGGGAAAGACAGTCTCCATCAGACATGGTGGCTCATGCCTGCAATCCCAGCATTTTGAGAGGCCAAGGCAGGTGGATCACTTAAAGCCAGGAGTTCAAGACCAGCCTGGCCAACATGGTAAAATTAAAACCCCGTCTCAACTAGAAACACAGAAATTAGCGGGATCTGGTGGCACATGCCTGTAATCCCAGGCACTAGGGAAGTGAGGCAGGTGAATGGCATGAACTGGGAAGGCAGAGGTTGCAGCAAACTGAGATCGCACCATTGCACTCCAGCCTGGGTGAAAGTGCAAGACTCTGCCTCAAAACAAAAACAAAAACAAAAACAAAGACCCGAAGAAATCCAGTGCAACACATCTCAAGTACGGTAGCTCTCCATGTGCCAATTCGGGCTGCAGCTAGACACACACACACACACACACACACACACATCACTCATCACTCACTCACATATCCTGCCTGGAGGCCAAAGAACAGTGAATGGGAAGAACGTTGTTTATGAGGCTGTGCTCCTACTTCTACCACAAACCTATTCCCTGCTTTTTCTACTCATCTGAAAAACCATGGTACCCACCTGTACATGCACCAAGATCACCTGCAGCTCTTTCTATGAGTTGCATCATTTTTAAAAGGAATTATGTTGCCATGCTTTATTTTGTTACTTATCTGTGTACATGGCTCTTCCCAATATTGTCAAGTTTTAAGAAAAAGAAAGGGATCTGATTTAATTTCATATTATGCTTTGTGTGTATCTAGTCATCCTACACATTTTACTTCCCTTACATGCCAGACACTGCACCAAGCATCAGGGATATTGATGCTGGTCCTGCCCTTCTAGAGATGGCGAACAAATAGCAGATAAATGAACGGATTGTCGATTATAATTATGGTTAGGTAGGGACAAGGGCCTCAGGTAAGAAATGGTAGAGAAGAAGAGACCGACTTCCAATGAGATGCTTCAGGATAGCCTCTGGAGGGGATGTTGGAGGTCATCCCATAGAAGGAGAGAAAGTGCTAGCTATGCAGCAAGTGGGGAGAGTGGCATCCCTGGTCAAGGTATCTTGCACATGACAGAAATACAGTCAGTGATTCTTGATTTGTTGATAAAAGTTAATATAATACATCTAATATATTTGAATTACCAATACAATCTAACCACAGTAGGCATATATACAGAAAAAGCACCCAGTAAATCAATTCTTTGCTATCCAGGAGGTGGCGGAGCCTTGTGCAAGCAATAGGCTCCTTCTCCTTGATGGGTTCACTTAAGACACTAAAACTCACAAAGCTCAGAGCTCTTGTACCCTCAGCCTTTTCCTTTTCCTCTCTTCTCAGCTCTCCAGTCACTGCCCAGCATGTATGTATGCAGTAATCGGAATACCAGAGGATTCTAGGTGTTCATCCACAATTCCTTTCAATCCACCATTTCTATCCAGTCTGGATTTTTCTCTCCAGTGTGACATCACGGAAGAGGCAGCATCTCAATTTCTTACACGTATTCCTGAAGTAACCTGCAATGTCATCACATATTGCAAGAACGCAGAGTGAGGGTGTGTAATCAACAGACACCATAGCTTGTGCAGCTGGCTGTGGGTCATTGAAATGTGTGTCCCATCTTGTGATGAGAGAGGGAACTGAAGGAGTCCAAACTGCTCGACCACTTGGCTGTCATGGCACAGGTGCCCCATTCCCCTGGCCTCCCATTCAGCTTTGTCAAAGGGAAATGTAGGCGGAGGCGAGGTAGGAAATATCTAGTGAGGTGAGTTTCCCTGCCTGGACCCTGACTGATATGGCCACCCAGGAGATGAGTGGGATTTTCTTATCTTTTCTTATTACTTAATAATTGTTGCCTTTGTGCCTAGATTGTCATGTAGCCCTTGGGGAAGAAGAAGAAAGGGTTATAAAGACTAAAAAAATCTGTATCTGCACAAGCAGCATCTGGCTGGAAGCTGGGCCCACCGACTCCTTGAAACAGTCAGATGCTATTGTTCTCCTGCCCCCCTTCCTTCCTGTCTGTCACCAACCCTTCTGGGGACCTTCTCTGTGTCAAGCCCTATGTTATACTGTTAGAAACACACATATGATGATGGACACAGTCCTTACTCTCAAAATTCCAGTCTAGTGGGGATGTGTGAGCAGATGATGGGGACAGAGTGAGAACTACTGCGATCGAGGTGGGCAAAGGGTATGAAGAGGACACAGGCAGTGGTCCCATGACACAGCCCGGGGGAGCTGATGGAGAGCTTCTCAGAGAAGTAGAGGCCAGGGTCAACTTGCAACTGATCAAAAGATAAAACTGACACTGAGTAAGCAACAGGAAAATTTAGGAGGTGCTACATCAACAGGTACATTACTGAAATGTCTAGTCCTTACTGGTTCCCATACAGGTCTGGGGGTTTCTGAAATGGATTCCGATGACTGCATCAGAATCAGGGAAGGCCCCACTCCCACCAAGAAAGTCTAGTCTAGTGGGTCCATGTTGAAGCTTAAGAATCTATTTGCTTGTTTTAATTCTCTAATAGGGGGTGTAGTAGGTGCCTGGTTATCTCATTCTCATAACATTGCTTTGAGAGTAAGGGAACTGCTCCTCCCTATTGGAACTGTGAGCAGGGATCAGCCTGGACAATGAATATGAGTCATTCAGACCCCCCAGGCATAGTATGTTTGAGCCCCACAAATGGTGGGCCAAATGCTTTCTGCTGCAAAATTTTGATGGATGATGCTTCTTTAGCCTGGACAGAGGTTTAATTTGTGTTGCTACGGAATACTTTCAATTGTCAACAACAAAAGGCGATATTTCCAATACTCCTTGAGAATAGGCTTCAAAGCCATCAGCTCTTTTTTTAAAAAGCGTTTCAGCTTTATTTTGATGTGGCAGAAAAGTTTTGCATGCATCCTTGCATCCACTGTTGTGACAGCTGCGTTTAATGAGTGCAAAATGATCAGAAAAACATCCTCTGCTGTGGGTTGCCAGTTGGCGACAGGGGAGAGGTGATGCTGTAATCGGAGCAGGAACGTCAGGTACACATCTGCGGAGGCGGAATTCTGCTGTCTGGTCTGTACTGGGTGGCTCAATGCATGGCTGAAAACCCAAGTAAGACCTGTAGACCCATGTCCCACAGTACCCTTCCTCAAGCAGCAGGGCAAAGACTCAACTGGACCACCTCTGGCTGTTCCTGCTGGAAGTTCATCCAAAGTCAAGTGTTCCTAAATCTTCCACATATCTGTCTTAAGGAGAGAGGATCTTTCTGGCTACTCTAACATAACTAACAAACTCAGGAGAAAACCAAAAAAAGTGGGGAAGGGGGCCAATTTTAAATAATTCATGTATGAAGGCCTAAATCAGAAAATAAAGGACTTTCTTTAAATATAGTCATGATAGATCAAATCATTGTTTAACAAATATTCAGTACCCCTCCTGCACCTCAACATGGAAATATACTGGCCTCCAATGGGAAGAGTTTACTTTTTCACCCTACTGATGTTGAGCTTGACTATGGGATCCCTTTGGCCAATGAAATGCGGGCAGAAATGACCATATGTCAATTTGGAGCCTAGGTCTTAAGGTATTGCATGTTTACACATACCACTTTGAGAGCTGCTACTTGCACCTTAAACAGATTATAAACCAGATAGCTCTATGCCCTCTGATGATCCTTGCAGAACGAGACAGGTGAAACAGACCTGAACACAAACTGTGGCTTGAAGCCGAGTTGCTCCAACTGACCCACGCACCTGCGAAGCATACCTGGAGGAGAGGCGCCTACCTGTGCCCACTTAGATCACCCATGGCACAGCTGACCTGCAGCCCAGGAAGCAGGAGCATAGACGATGGTTAATTTAAATCACTGAGATTTAGAATTATTTGTTATTCAGCATCATTGTGTGGCTTCATAAGCTTTTGATAGAGATTACCAACAATGAATGCCTGATTATGTGCCAGAGAAATTTTTCCAGCTGTGCTAAATGCCTCCTACAGCTCTGTCGACATGGTGGGAGGGTGCTTTGGATTAAATGCTTGTGTCCCCCCAAATTGTATATGTTGAAGCCTTAACCCCCAATATGATAGTATCAGGAGGTGGAGACTTTCGGAGGTGATTTGTGTCAGATGAGGTCATGAAGGTGCCACTATCACTATGAGATTAATGACCTTATAAAAAGGGGAAGAAACCCAATCTCTGTCTCTCTCTCTCTGTCTCTCTGTCTCTCTCTCTCTCTCTCTCAGCCATGCGAGGACACAGAGAGAAGACATTCATCTGCAAAACAGGAAGAAAGCCCTCACCAGGAACTTTGATCAGCCAGCATCTTGATCTTGGACTTCTCGGCCTGCAGAACTGTGAGAAATAAATCATTGTCTAAGCCCCCCAGTCTACAGTGTTTGTTATAGCAGCTGAAACTAAGACAGAGGGAAAGTGGATGGAGCAAACACTCAAGTCAGTCGTCAGACTTACACAAAGCAAGACAGGTAACAGCTCCATGATGAGCTACATTTTTCAGCGTTTGGTTCCATTTTGGGGTCGAGTCAGTCACACTTACAAATAATGGAAGGGCAGCTTCAGTAAGGTTGCCAAGGCAGCTCTTTGGTGCCAACATTCCTTACTGATTATTACTTTCTTGCATCTTTTTTAAAAAATATTTTATTTAGAGACAAGCTCTCTCTCGCTCTCATCCAAGCTGGGGTGCAGTGGTGCAATCCTGGCTCACTGCAGCCTGGACCTCCTGGGCTCAAGAGATCCTCTCACTTCAGCCTCCTGAGTAGCTGGAACTTCACGTGCATGGCACTACAATCAGCTAATTTTCTTTTTTTTCTCTGACTAAATCTAGCTCTGTTGCCCAGGCTGGAGTGCAGTGGCACATTTTCCACGCACTGCAACCTCCGCCTCCCGGGTTCAAGTGATTCCTCCGCCTGCACCACCACACCAGGCTAATTTTTTGTATTTTTAGTAGAGACGGGTTTTTAACCATGTCAGCCAGGCTGATCTTGAACTGCAGCCCTCGTGATCCACCTACCTTGGGCTCCCAAAGTGCTGGGATTACAGGCGTGAGTTACCATGCCCAGCCCTCCTTCTTACATCTTACAGGTGAAAACTAAAAGTAGCTACATGTATCCATCTCTTTCCATTGAGCTGGTTTCATTTCTGTATGGCTCCGTTTTCAATCTTCTCTTTCCTCAGTCATGGAAAGACAACAAAAATAAATTGTCACAGAGAACCATTATGACAATTTACTCTTGCGGGGAGAATCCTGTGGGTGTCTGAAAGCTTACTCTAAGTTATATTTGCTTCATTTATGCTTCTATTGACGAACAATTAGGGCAGCAATTAATTTTAAAATGCAAATGAGCAATGGGTCTCACTGTTTTGTTTCGTTTTAAATATCCTTTGTCTTCAGTTGTACTGGTGTCTTAATGGATTTAGGTTAGCAAAGGAATGAAATTATTTTTTCTAATGCTTTATTTACTTGATTGAATCGGACTTTTTATCAAATATTGACTATAAATGTTTGTTCAAGATCACATGCCGTAGAAATTAATAGAAATAAAAACCTGGAATAGAGAACCACCAATTTTTTTTTTTTGAGGCAAAGTTTTGCTCTTGTTGCCCAGGCTGGAGTGCAATGGCATGATCTCAGATCACTGCAACCTCCGCCTCCTGGATTCAAATGATTCTCCTGCCTCAGCCTCCCAAGTAGCTGGGATTAAAGGCACCCACCATCTCGCCCAGCTAATTTTTTGTACTTTTAGTAGAGACGGGGTTTCACCATATTGGTCAGGTTGGTCTCAAACTCCTGACCTCAGGTGAGAACCACCATTTTTTATGTGTCTTGTGGGTAATCTGTCTGAATGATGATCAGTGACAGAAGAGGTGATGGCCTCGTACCTGCTATCTGAACAAATTGTTTTGTAGTCAAAGGGAAAGTTCTTTATCTTTGAAAATATCTCATAGATATTCTTTGAGGAAACTTTCCAACTATAATGATAAGTAAAAGTATTATTTAATTCTTTTATATCCTCCAGTACTGGAAGGGTTGGAAACATCATAAGAAGTTCACCAAGTATGCCTTTCATTTGTTCATTCATTCAGCATTGACTGATGTGTAGTATATGCTAACACTCCACTCTGTGCTAGATTTACCAGTCTCTGCTTTCAAAGAGTTCATAGTCTAGGGAAAGTCCAACAAGGAAAACCTCTGTTGTCTCTTTGTCATGGCACTACCTGGCATCATTTCCCATGCACGTTTATCCTTTCTCCTCACCTGGAATGTGACCCGCAGGGGGGCAGGAACTGTGCCTGTATTCTCACCATGTGAGGTGTATTCTCACCACATGAGCTGTATTCTCACCACGTGAGCAGGACCTACCATGGAAGAGGCACTCAGGAAATATCTGTGGCTGTCGGAAAAGAAAATAAGTTATATTTTAGAGATGTAAATAGGATGAAATGGAAGCTCAAAGGGCAGATACGTTTCTCAGCATAGAGTGTGGTTGAAGATGGGTTGATTGGAAAGGTATGGAAGAACTGATGAGGATGGTAGCAGGGAGCACCATGAGGGGATATACAGGAGGTTACCCAAAGAACAAAGTCAAGCACACAGCAGGTGTGAAGTCACGGAGGAGTGGGCCATCTGGATGAGACTGGGAATGCCGAGGAGGTTTCTCTGGAGTATGGGGTGCTGTGGGGAATGGCCAGAGCTGGGCTAGATGGGCAGCAAAGCCTGAAGCAGCAGTCATCTTATACCTGGGTGGAGAAGCTGTTCTCTGTAATCGATGTTGATTACCAATTGACTGAAACATTTAAATGCCAAATTATTAACTAGTATGAGCATTTAAGAAAAAGAGGCTGGGTGCAGTTGCTCATGTCTGTAATCCCAACATTTTGAGAGGCCAAGGTGGGAGGATTGCTCAAGCCCAGGAGTTCGAGACCAGCCTGAACAACATAGTGAGACCACCCCCAACTCTACCCAAAAAAAAGAAAGAAAGAAAAAGAAAGTTCGCCAGTCATAATGGCACAGGGCACACACCTGTAGTCCCAGCTACTCAGGAGGCTGAGGCAGGAGGATCAATTGAGACCAGGAGGTAGAGACTGCAGTGAGTTGTGATCATCCCATTGCATTCTAGCCTAGGCGATAGAGCAAGACCCTGTCTCAGAAAAACAAAAAAAGTTATCCACCTTTGACAGATATCTGAATCCCTCTTTTATAATAAACCTCAAATGCTTTCCACTGACATGGAACTTAGTTTGAAGGTACAGCCAAGACATCACCCACTGTCCCAAAGAAAGTACACGGTCACTAATCACACACGTCAGCTGCAGCTGTTTTTATTCCATTATCTAAATATTTAAAGAGAAGCCAGCATTTTGGTCTCAATTATCTGAATAATTCCACAACTCACCATTTGTTTTTGGTAGAGATTCAGGGTTAAAATAATAATAATAGGTATCTTTAAGACTAAACGTTATGCATATGAAAGTCTATTTTCAAACATCTAAATTATTTGCCTCTGTTTTTCACCTATGTAAGAAAATATTTTATACCTCAAGAATGAATGAAGGACCATCACATGAGCTAGGTTTTTTTTTTTAAATTGCTTTTTGTTGTTGTTTCATGGATTTTTCTGTTTTATTAGGAAAAAACAATTAAATGGAGCACATATGCAGATCCAATCACTGCCTCCCGCCTGCTGCAGGTGGAGGTCGTGAGTAAGTGGTGGCAGCCTACTTCCGATCTCATTATGAATTCCTCTCATGTGGACACAGACTTCAGCCGGGGATGACAAGGATTTTTGAACTTCAAAAAAAATAAAGGAGGAATCATAATAAATATTTTACTGTCTAGTCAACCCAATTTATGAAGCCTGATTATCTCTCTCAGGCTCCGGAGATTGCTACCGGAAATCTCCCCAGATGTTCCCCCTTCTAACCCAACTCTCCACTGTCTGGCAGGAAGGCAGCAGGGTATCTGCATTCCGGAAGAGCCCAGCTGCCTGGGAAGAGAGAGGGAGCGGCCTGCTCGACAGCCCTGCCTGCTAACCAGTCCTCATTTGGGTTCACGGACCAGGGAGTGACCCAATTTTCTTCTGCTCAGCTTGATACTGTGTTCCAAGCTGGGGTCCCCTGAGACTATGTGGAGGGAGAGTCCCTGAGGCAGCAGGGAACTAATCACCCTCACTTCCCAAGTCAACAGATATCCTGAAACGGTGCTGTTTGAACGATATTGGGCGAGCACATGACGAGTGCTTCTGGGGTTCTTTGTATGGGCCCAGACATTTTCATTTCTGTTTCTAAGCTACACAGCCCCAGGGATTTTAGTAACGATTGGACTCTGTATACTTGAGTTATTTGTTGTTGGTGTAACTTTGAAAATTCAGCTTATCGTATAAATGTCATTATATTATATATAATATGTAGCATAATTCTTTTGATATGAGCACGTGTTCTTCTCCTTTGGAACACACCTATATATGTTAGTTTGCCCTTCCACCATCTAGTCCTTGGCTGTGATCCCAGTGGCTACACTACAGTACACACTCACTAGTGCCATGAATAACTTGGACCTAATGTGAGATTTGACAGAGACTAACACCCTTAGGAGAGATCATCTCACCACAAATGGCCCTTGGGAGTCAGACCAGCCAAACTAGAATTCTTGAAAGAGCTGCTCCAGAAAAATTCTTGCTTGGGTTTTTTTTAAGCCACAAAGCCAAAAGTCTGAAGGTGCATTTGATATTCCTATTGCCTGGCTGCATGAAATAACCGCACAGTGAGCTTGTGACAAAGAACGTCATCCTTGCAGTGCCTCGGCAGAGCCTCTGAAGGCCATAACTAGAATCTGAAGGGCAGGTAACCTGAGTGCACACTGGAGATCAGAGTCTCAGCAAACTCAGGGGGTTCACATTTACTTGGCAATCTCTGAAAAGATAGGAATTGGGGTTGTCTTGCATATTTCTTTTTTTTTTAAACCCAGTTTTCAAAAGATGAGGAGATTCTAGTGCTGTAAGTGATGATATATCGCCTACTGACCAAGGCTTCAAGGTACCACTTGTGTCTGCTAACGATCAAGCTTCACCAAAAATAGAACTGAAACATGAATGAAATATAAATCATTTTGTAAAACACTGGATTTCTGTGTGTGTTTCTCATAAGAAAGTCTGCATAGACCCCATAACTTTGAATTATTAAAACGAGAATTTTGTAATACTAGTATAAAGACTGAGCTATTCTACCCACAAAAATAAAAGTTTTAGGTGGACATTTATGTGCTTGGACAATAATGAGGGGGGAAAAGCTTTTGATCAACAACCACCAAAAAAAAAAAAAAAAAAAACCTTCTCAAAGAAAACTGTAGAAAAAGAATCAATTGCCAATTTACCTAATTAAAAAATGTCCAGGCCAGGCATGGTGGCTCATGCCTGTAATCCCAGCACTTTGGGAGGCTGAGGTGGGTGGATCACCTAAGGTTAGGAATTCGAGACCAGCCTGGCCAACATGGTGAAACTCTGTCTCTACTAAAAATACAAAAGTTAGCTGGGTGTGGTAGCAGACACCTGTAATCCCAGATACTCCGGAGGCTGAGACAGGAGAATCCCTTGAACCTGGGAGGCAGAGGTTGCAGTGAGCCGAGATCATACCACTGCACTCCAGCCTGGGCCACAGAACAAGACTCTGTCTCAAAAAAAAAATAAATGTCTAGACTAGAGTTTTGAATTTTTTCAATGAGCATTCATGACCCTCCAGTAGAAAACTTTATGTAATTATTTTCTTTTAGATATGTCATTTTCATTAACACCACTGTGATGTAGACCTAATAACAGTGAAAATGCTGATGACAGTATTTAGAAAATAATTGTGGTGAGACAGTATTTTGTGGTTGACTTCATGCTGCTCCTTTTGTGTTATCCTCTTTATCTCTGCCCACTCATGACCTCTCCAGAAAGCAGAACTTAGGAATCACAAGTATTAGAAAGGACAAGACATTTCTCATGCTTTGTGTTCTTTCCATTTTGTTCCATGCTGTTTTTCCTTCATTTATGATCTAATTCCTTAGACATTTCTCTCTGAATGGAACAGATTACACCTATAAATAAAGCATTGATAAAATGGCCTGAAGTTTTAAAAATATGATTTGACTTTTAAAATAAAACTGCTACCCTGCCAAGGGTCTCCCAGGTCCAATTATCATTTTGTTGTGTTTTGTTGCTTGATTTTTTTTTTTGCACCAGTTACCAAGGATATTCTGAAGGCCTGCATCTAAGTTGCATAGGCTTGAAAATACTCAAGATGAAGAGATTATATTGGCATGCATGGGAATGTTGAGTTCTGGTTACTATTGTTTTAATATTGGCTCACTGTGAGTCATCATACTAAGTAGTTTCACAGAAAAGAAAAAGGTTTCTGAATAAATTTTATGAGGGACACACAGGAAGTTACCTAGGAATTTAAGAAGAGACTAAAAATAGGAAAGAGGTGAAAGAGAACTCAGAGAAAAGTTTTGTTAAATAAGGGCTGGGTGCTCATGTTTCTCTGAAATGAGGGTTAGAATGATGGGTGCTAGAAAAATCAAATGTGTTCCAAAAATTAATATATCACAACATATAAAATATTGACAAAAATTCTTACTGGATAATGAGAGTATTGCCAAGGAGCTAAAGGCTAGAAGGGAAGATTTAACAGGATTTAGAAACCATACAAAGAACGGCAGAATTATACCACATTAACAGAATGAAGAGCCAAAAAAATTATGATTTTTCTGTAATGATACAGAAAAAGTATTTGACAGATTCTGTACCTTTTCGTGATTAAAAAAACTAGTCAACAAACTAGGAGTAGAAGGGAACCACCTCAACATAATAAAGGCCATATATGAAAAGCCCACAGCTAAAGTCATACCCAATGGCGAAAAACTGAAGCATTTTTTTCCAAGATCAGGAACAAGATAAGGATGCCAACTTTTGCTACTTGTCTTCAATAGTACTGGGTGTCCTAGACAGAGCAATCGGGCAAGAAAAAGAAACCAAAAACACCAAATTAAAAAGGGAGAATTAAAATTATCTCTATTCGCAGATGACATCATCTTATGCATAGAAAACCCTAAAGATAATACCAAAAAATACAACTTTCAGAATAAACAAATTCAGCAAAGTTGCAGAAGGCAAAAATCAACATACAAAAATCAGTTGCATTCCTATATACTAACAATGAACAATCTGAAAAGCAAATTAAGAAAACAATTCCATTTACAATAGCATGAAAAAGAACAAAATACTTAGGAATAAACCTAAACTAAAAGGTGAGAGATTTATACACCAGGAGCTACAAAACATTGATGAAAGCAATCAAAGAAGACTTTTAAATAAATGAAATGACACCTCATGTTCATGGATTGGAAAATTTAATACTGTTAAGATGTCCCTACTTCCCAAAGCAATCTACATATTCGATGGAACTTCCATCAAAATCCAAATGGCAGTTTTGGAAGAAACAGAAAAAAAGTTCTAAAATGAAATATCAAAAAACCCCAAATAGCCAAAATGATTTTTAAAATGAAGAAAAAATTGTTGTGATCACACTTCCTGATTTCAAAACATATTACAAAGCTACTGTAACCAAAACAGTGTAGTAATGTCATAATGACAGACATATAAACCACCTCTTCCCCCAAAAAATAGAAAGCCCAGAAATAAGCACTTGCCTATATGGTTAAATGATCTTCTGCAAGAATGCCAAGACCACTCAATGGGGAAAGGTCAATCTCTTAAACAAATTGTGCTGGGACAACTGGATATCTGCATACAAAACAAGTAAGTTGGACCCTTACCTTATATGTTATACAAAATTAACTCAAAATGAATGAAAGACCTAAACATAAGACTCAAAACTAATAAAACTCCTAGAAGAGAACATAGGGGAAATTCTTCATGATATAAGATTTGGCAATGATTTCTTGGATATGATGCCAACATCACAGACAACAAAAGCAAAAATAATTAGTATTATATCCAAACTTAAGCAAAAACGTTTCTGCATCCAAGCACACAATCAACAGAGCAAAAAGGTAACATACAGAATGGGAGAAACCATCTGCAAGTCATATATCTGATAAGGGGTTAAAACCCAGAATACATAAAGAACTCCTACAATTCAACAACAAAAAAATTTAAATAACCTGTTTAAAAATAGGAAGGACTTAAATAGACATTTCTGCAAAGATGATCTACAAATGGCCAAGAAGCACACAAAAAGATGTCCAGCATCGCTAATCATCAGAGAGACTTTCATCAAAATCACCATGAGATGTCACTTCACACCCATTAGGATGGTCACTACCAAAAAAGGAGAGGAGGAGAATAACAAGTGTTGGGGAGGATGGAGAAATTAAAAACTGTGTATACTGTTGGTGGAAATGTCAAAAGCTACAACTACTGTGAAAAATAGTATGGAGCTTCCTCAAAAAGTTAAAAATACAATGAAATATCACTTCACACACATTAGTATAGTTACTACCAAACAAACAAGCAAAGGAAAATAATACATGTTAAGGAAGAATCCTTGTGCACTATTGGTGAGATTATGAAATGGCGCAACTGCTATTAAAAAAAGTATAGTAGGCAGGGCTTGGTGGCTCACGCCTGTAATCCCAGCACTTTGGGAGGCAAAGGTGGGTGGATCACGAGGTCAAGAGATCGAGACCATCCTGGTCAACATGGTGAAACCCGTCTCTACTAAAAATACAAAAAATCAGCTGGGCATGGTGGCACGTGCCTGTAATCCCAGCTACTCAGGAGGCTGAGGCAGGAGAATTGCCTGAACCCAGGAGGCGGAGGTTGCGGTGAGCCGAGATCGCGCCATTGCACTCCAGCCTGGGTAACAAGAGCGAAACTCCGTCTCAAAAAAAAAAAAAAAAAATGTATAGCAGTTCCTCAAAAAATTAAAAATATAATCACCATATGACTCAGCAATTCTACTTCTGGGTATATATCCAAAAGACTGAATTAAAAGGAAGATTTTAACAGGGAATTGCACACCCATGTTCATTGCAGCATTATTCACAATAGCCAAGAGATGGAAGTATCCCAAATGTTCATCAAATGAATAACTAAAGAAAATACTGCATATACATACAATGAAATATTATCCAGCCTTAAAAAGAAGGAAATCTTGCCACAAGCTACAACATGGGTGAACCTTGAAGATATTATGCTACATAAAATAATCCAGTCACCAAAGGGCAAATATTGTATGATTCTACTTCTATGAGATGCCTAGAGTAGTCAAATTCACAGAGACAGAAAGTAATATGGGGGTTCCTTATGAAAGACCTAAACGTAAGACCCAAAACTAATAAAACTCCTAGAAGAGAACATAGGGGAAAGTCACACATTAGTATAATTACTACCCAGTTACTTTCCCAGGGAGAGACACAGTTTTTGTTCAATGAATACGGAATTTCAGGTTTGCAAGATGACAAAGTTCTGGAGATCTGTGTCACAACAATGTGAATGTAATTAAGACTATGAAACTGTACACTTAAAAATGGTTAAGATGGTAAATTTTATGTCATGTATTTTTTATTAAAATAATTTTTTAATTTTTGAATTTCCTTTTTATAAAAGATGGGTGGCAGCAGGAAGAAGCCCAGAGCATGTGAAAGTTCATTTGTGGTAACGGGGAGGGAACCAGAGGAACTAAGATTTTGAGGCAGTTAAGAAAAAAGGAAAAATTGTGTCCATCAACGAAGAAGAGCCATAATGAAATAAAGTTCCAAGGAGACTGGACCTCCTGCTGGGAACTAGCAAGGCTTCAAGTGCACTGGATGGAGGAATTGCTAAAAATGGCATGAGAATGTTTTTGCCCAAAAGCTGCAGTTTTCAATTTGAATAAATCAGTGAGACCATACACAAAAGCTGAGCCTTGGCTTCCCTCCATCCCTTCTCCCAATTTGGAAGAAAAACAACCTGAGTGTGCACTAAAGTGCTATTTCAGCCCCCAAAGCAATGGAAGAGGTCTTCGGATTGGCGCCAATTCATGACAAAATTTGTGTCATTCATTCATTCAACAAACCTTTCATCTGTGCCAGGCACTGCCCTAGGTGCTGGTATAGGAGTTGGTTAAAAGACTTTCTTCCCATGGGACTTGCATCTTAGAGGCACCCATCAGGTGGGCTCTGTTCTGTCACACATTTCTGCTGTGCAGGTATGCACTGGCTGAGTATCTCTGTTTCCTTGTTTTTCTGTACCTTTAAAGAACTGGAAAACTTCTTGAGACCTCGGGCCCATCCTTTCATGACCATCACTCTTGACTATAAAAAGCCAGTGTTTGTACAGCTGTGGGTAAAGAAGTCCAAGTCCCAAATGACTAGGATACTGTGGACTTCTAAACAGGGGCTTAGCCCGCAAGGGAGAAGAGAAGGGCTGGAACTTCAGGCATCACTTAGGACTTGGTGAGCCAAGTATGAGTCCTAATCAAGAGATAGAGAGCACATGAGGGCAAACAGAATAGCCTGCCAGTGAAGGAAGACGTGAAAGAAACTGCAAGAGAAGAATAGTCTTTCAGATTATTTGCAGCATCACAGTTATGTCCTGTGGGCTTGGTGGGCAGCTAGCTGGTCCTGGACAGATCACTATAGCAGGAAGCCTTGCCCTTGAGGAGAGCCAAAGAGTTTGTAGTGCTCTTAAGACCTCTAAAGTTAGACTTACAAAGCCTTTTCCATTTCTTTCCTTTCTTTGTTTTTTGAGACAGAGTCTCGCTCTGTTGCCAGGCGCCAGGCTGGAGTGCAGTGGCACAATCTCAGCTCACCGCAACCTCTGCCTCCTGGGTTCAAGCAATTCTCCTGCCTCAGCCTCCCGGGTAGCTGGGACTATAGGCATGCACCACCATGCCCAGCTAATTTTTGTATTTTTTAGTAGAGACGGGGTTTCACCATGTTGGCCAGGATGGTCTCGATCTCTTGACCTTGTGATCTGCCCACCTCAGCCTCCCAAAGTGCTGGGATTACATGCATAAGCCACCACGCCTGGCCAGCCTTCTCCATTTCTGATCTACTAGTCATCAAATAACCTCCATGAAATGCAGGAAGAAAATATTAGAACTTCTATACATACTTTTAAAATCTTATCTTTTTGCGTTTTTACCTTTTGCATATTTTATAATGTATATAATCTACTAATACAATAGGAAGGGTGCACAACTTATAAATATATAAATACATAAAATATATATGCACCTAGTTGCCCGTGTAGTGAAAATGATGGATATTACATACTTTTAAAAATTTTACTTATTTAGTTTTACTAGTTAGAGATTTAACATTACAGCATTAAAGATTTGAAACAAATCCATATTTCAGAGCCATGGACTTAAGTATGCATATGTTGGGACTTCATGATCAAAATATTTTAGTGATAAGGGTGAACAATCAGAAAAGTTTGGCAATCACAGCTCTAGGCAATTTATTCCTTCTTTAATCAACTTCTGTAACCGTAAGACCAAGAGCATCCAGCATTTTGGGATACGCATTGCCTTTTGTACCAGACCACCAGGATGGACGGAAAGGGAGGTAAAACGGAGAGGGGGCAGGCAGGCAGAGGCATGGTTCAAACAGAAGCAGTGGACAAAGCCCCAGGAAGAACAGGGAAGAAGTGTGATAATTTGCAAACTGTTTAGTAGTAATTGTGGGGTTTGTTGCCAAATAGCAAATTTTATCAGACTTATCTGGTTTTCCTTGGCATCCACATCCCACGCTGTTCCATTCAGAAGATAAAAGGGTCCTACATGTGGAAAGGTTTTATCCTTAGGGAGACATAGACTATATCCTTACTTGCTTTATTAATTCCCTGAGTCTATCTTAAAAGGGAGCAGTAATTTCTCTAATAGCTGGGGTGTGGCTGCATCTTCAGCTGGATGTTAGGCTCTGCTAGAAACTTACACTCACACACAGGCATACACACACGTGTACATGCATACAAACATACACTGCATGTATGCATATGTGCACACACATATACGCAGGCACACACAGGTGCACATGCACACATGCTCATATGTGTGCACACAAACTTAAGTCTATGGCTCTGAAATATGGATTTGTTCCAAATCTCCATTGCTATAATGTAAAACGTAATATCACTAACTAGTAAAAACTAAATAGGTCAAATGTTGAAAGTATGTAATGCTTGCCAGGGATGGTGGCTCACACCTGTAATCCCAGCATTTTGGGAGGCTGAGGTGGGCAGATCACCTGAGGTCAGGAGTTCGAGACCAGTCTGGCCAACATGGTGAAACCCTGTCTCTACTAAAAATACAAAAACTAGCTAGGTGTGGTGGCACACACTTGTAGTTCCAGCTACTTATGAGGCTGAGGCAGGAGAATCACTGGAACCCAGGAGGCGGAGGTTGCATGGAGGTGGAAGTTACATTGAGCCAAGATTGCACCACTGCACTCCAGCCTGGGCAACAGAACAGATTCCATCCCAAAAAAAAAAAAAAAAAAAGTATGTAATGTCCATCATTATTTACACTAGGTTGACAACTATGACAACTAGGTGTATCATTTTGCAGCTTAATGAATCCAGGAAAACTGTTTCTTAATAAAAGAAGGCAAACATTTTCACTAATTAAGAACAAGAGTACTTATAATCTATATTAATGTTGAAAATTCTACCTCCTTTGCAATGGCTTCTTTGAGATCAATTGTATGGATATACGACTACTTGTTTTATCAAACCTACCGATGAACATGGAGATGGTTTCCACGTTCTCACTGCAGCAAAAAAACACCTTCATGTTAGTTTTCTATAGGTTAAATGTCCAGAATGTGACGCTGTGTAGTCAGAAATCATGTACATTTCAAAATGTGATCTCTACTGCCAGATTTCCCTCCAAAAATATTGAATCCAACAATGTTAGAAAGCCCCTTGCCCTCACTGGGGATTCTCAAATTCTTTTTATCATGTTGGTCAAGTCAACAACAATAAAAATAACATCGTGTTTTAATTTACCATACATTTGCATCAGTTATTTACTAGATTAAGCATTTATAGTATCATGCTTACTGCTCATTTGCAATCACTGCATTCCTGCCAGTTTCCACATTTCCCCCTTGGTTTGCACTCTTCAGAGTCTCATTTACTGAAAAGAGGTTTTTACTGTTACATGAACTCTTTGCCTATAACAACAACAACAACAACAAAATACTCTTCCCAGGTTCATTTTGTTCTCTTTTAAGTTTTACTTATACTGCTTTTGCCATACAAAAGTTTTACATTTCAGGAACTGTATGAAATTGTAGCCATGTTAATAAAATGTTTGCTTTCTATTGTCTTTTTTGTCAAACTTAAAAGCACCTCTTTACACAAGATTATTGAGATAGTCATCAGTATTTTTTTCTGGTATATTCAGTTTCTTTTTTAAACATTTAAATATTTTATTTCTCTGAAATTTATTTTGAAGGAGTCGGGGGACATCCAGCTTCCTTTTCAATATGGCTAATCTCAGTAAGAATTGTCCAACACTGTCTGCTGAGTAATCCATATCTTCCCAACTGGTCAGAAATACCAGCTCTGTCCTGGTTTCTGTGCCTTTCCCAGCCTTCTAGTCATTTCTGTGACCTGCCCGCCTCAGCACGAGCACCACTTTCCTTCACTTTTACTGCTCCATGACTGCTGTACCGTCTCACAAGGGAAATCTCCCCAGCCACTCTTCTCTTTCAAAATTTGTGTCACATTTCTACAGTATCTATTCATCCAGTTGAACCTTAAAATTATATCATGATACAAAATAACTTTTGTTGAAACATTAGAACTTCCACACTCTCATAATAAAGTTCCCCCTAAAATATTATCTATGACAGCGATCAGCAAACTTTTTCTGTCAAGGTCTAGACAGTGAATATTTTAGTCTTTTTTTGCAGGCTGTTATTATCTGTGCCGCAACTACCCAACGTAGCCACTGAGGTGCAAAGGCAGCCATAAACAGCATGTAAGTTAATGGGCATGTCTATATCAAGAAAACTTTATCTACAAAAATAGGGAGAGGTTCAATGGCATATTACTCAGCCACCAAAAAAATAAAGTACTGATACATAACATTATCTTGGTGGGAAAACCCACAATTACTTTTGCACCAACCTAATACAATGTGAATGAACCTCAAAAACATTATGTGGAGTGAAAGAAGCCAGATACAAAAGGTCACATGTTGTACAATTCCATGTATATAAAATATACAGAATTGGTTAATCCAAACAGATAGAAAGCAGATTAGTGATTGTCACTGGCTAGAGAGAGGGGAGAATAAGGAGTAATTACTTACTAGGTATTATACAAAGTGATTTTCTGGGAAATAAAATGTGTTGAAAGTAGAGGTGATGGTTACATATCACTGTAAATGTACTATGAACTTTTATACTTTAAAGTGGTTAATTTTGTGTTATATAAAATTCACTTAAATTAAAAAGCAGAGGGCTGCATTTGACCCATTGGCCATACTTTGCCAATGCTGATTTATAGGATAAACAAAATAATAGCATTAAAGAAATGTTTCATAAAGAAGGAACTTGCATTTGATAACATAATCATGTTTTCTTCTACTTTTTGTCCCATGGAAAATGCAGCCTACCCAAAAAGGAGTTGAGAGGAAGTTCCAGTGGACAGCAGAGGTCGGCACAGTTACGTACAAATATCAGGATGGATTCTTTGGGGTAGGATAGGCTAGTAACAGATAAACTCCCATGCTTTGGTTTACTTGTTACTCAAACTAACCTCAGCACAACGGAAGTTTAGTTCTTTTCATGTAACAGACCTTTACAGGTTTTCAAGTTGGTAGGGCAGTTCTTTACCACATGGTCATTCAGGAACCCAAATCCTTCCATTTGGTAACTACACCATTCTCTGGGACCAGGCTATTTCTTCACAAATTGCAATGTACATCTTGTTAAAATGAAGATAATGACTTAGTAGGTCTGGGTGGGACCTGAGATAGTGCATCTCTAATACACTCCTGGTGATGTGGATGCCTCTGGTCTGGGGACCATACCCGGAGTAACAAGATGACAAAGACATTATTGCTAGCTGCATCCTAACAGCAGCAAAGATAGCAGGAAGACCCAGCTGCTCTCCTAAAAGGTTGAGCCTTGAATGCATGCTGCATTTCCCTTTATATTCTATTGGCCAATCTGCGTGATGCCACCTAAGAAGGGAGGCTGAGCAACATAACCAACAGCAGTTCTTCAGTGTGGAAAGAGAAAACTAACTTTGGTAAACAGTTAGCAGTCTCTGCCCTATACATTTCCAAAATGCATTAAAAAATAATAGGCCGTGCACAGTGGCTTATGCCTGTAATCCCAGCACTTTCGGAGGCCAAGGCAGGTGAATCACCTGAGGTCGGGAGTTCAAGACCAACCTGACCAACGTGTTGAAACCCCATCTCTACTAAAAATACACAAATTAGCCTGGCGTGGTTGTGCGCGCTTGTAATTCCAGCTACTCAGGAGGCTGACATGGGAGAATCGCTTGAACCCGGGAGGTGGGGGTTGAAGTGAGCCAAGATGGTGCCACTGCACTCCAGCCTGGGACACAGAGGGAGACCCTGTCTCAAAAAAAAAAAAAAAAAAAAAAAAAGACAATAATGCTGAGACTTAACCAGATTAGCTAGCATTTCCTATCAATATATAATGGTTTTTTTGAGTTACAAGACCTTAGAGAAGTGCAAATCAGACCCCTGGTGTATCAAAATAACAGAAACTAAGGGCTTTTTTGTTTTGGGTTTTTTTGGTTTTTTTTCAGACAAAAATTGGTTTAGACAATAACTTAAAAGAAGATAAATTGATCCATTAGTAATGATTTCAAAAATGTATATGTTAAAAGAAAGATCAGAAGACAAAAATGATGAGTAAATAGTAACCGAGTCTCAGATAGGAAACTGAGTAAAAATTTATCCAAGATTTTTCTGGCCAGAGCCCAAGGGATACCAGCCAAACAACCAAATCAGCAGGGCACTTGTGATAGAAGGAATGAATTTTAGACTCAAAAAGATCCTCTGCTTGGCAAGGATACAAAGAGCACACATTGGGAAAGGACAGTCTCCTCAGCAAATAGGGATGGGGAAACTGAATACCCACATGTGATGAGATGAAGTTGGACCCTTACTTTATACTATGTACAGGAGTTTAAAACCTGCCTGGATGATTATAATGTGCAGCCAGCTCAGGGAATCAGTGGTCTACAGACAAGGTGATGAGCTTCCCCTGACTTCTTTCTTGGGCCAGACAAATCCATGAAAACAATTCAAGTTGTTCTTAGCGCTACTGCACATGGGAGTCACCTGGGGAACAGTCAATATGACCAATGCCTGTCCCATCCCCAGGTGTAGCTTGGACACAGGGAGTTTTGAAGCTTCTCAGGTGATCCAAAGGGCAGTTAAGCTGAGTTCCCTGCACAGAACACTTTTCCCAAACATTCCTGAAACACCTATCTGCTGGAGCCCTTTTCAAAGAGAGAGAGGGAGAGAGAGAGAGAGAAAGCCCTGAGGGGACTGATTCCCAGTGTTCATCCCAGACTTACCAACTCAGGGAAGAGGGCTGGCAATCAGGGAACTTGACAAGGCCCAAATTATTCTTATCAGTAAAAGTTGGGAGGCTCTGTACTAAAAATAGTTTATGCTCAAAAGCAAACATTTCCATTAGTGTGTATGTGTCTGTGAGACAGAGAGAAGAGAGCAAGAGAGAACTGCCTCTGTGCTCACACTTGATAAGGTCTGGGGATTATGAGAGACACATAAGGCATGATGCCTCCAAAGAGGGCTGACCCTCATACAGCAAAATAAAAACTCAAGCTCTTATTCACCCTACACACTGCAGTGTCCACAGGGCCTCCACCATCTTGCTCTCCTGTGGCCCAGATCAGAGTGTGTAACTGACTTGCAATCACTCCCCTAGTTAGTGGGCCAGCCAGAATCACACCCCTCTATTTCACCTCCCGGATCCGTGTTCCGTCCTCAAAACTGTGATGTTTGGAGCCACAGTCGCTGCATGGGACCTGCGCCCCTGTAAAATATTTCACCATAGTTGAAATGAACATCAAAGAGAAACTTGCAGTGGGGACAGCAAGCATGTATGCACAAAGGCTTGAGAGCTGGGGGCTCTTGGTGATGGTCTGAAGTAGTCAGCCTCAGGGCACAGAAGCAGTGGACACACCATTCTCCCCACCAGCCACTCCCCAGCTGCACACTGACTGCTGCCCTCCCAACAACACAGAGCCCAGTGAGGCAAGGGGCCAGTTCAGTGGCCAGTAGCTTCTGATCCAATTGAAAGTAAAACAGAAGACTGTGGATGCCATCTGACCACAGGATCAGTAACCCTGGCTCACCCCTCTCTCTCTCAGAACGTGCCCTTGCATTCATTCATGCAAACACAGGGTAACTGTGCACTCTGAGCTGGGCAGTGCCGGGGTGCCCCTCAGTAAGCAAAACAGGCCAACCACGGGGCTTCACTTAGCTTACAGTCTGAAGCCCGGTTTCTCAAGCCTTGCTACACTACCTGAGAGATGTCAGAAAGGCAGGATCCCAGGTCCCACCCCATGCTTCCTGAACCAGAATCTGTGTTTTAACACGACTCCAGAGGATCTAAATGCACCTTAAAGTTAGCACTGATTTCTATGCCTATTTCCATGGATGAGAGTCAGAGCATGAACTCCAAGGAAATGCCACGTGAACTCCCTTCCCTTGGCTTTCAGTGGGAGTGGGTATCAAAGAAAATAACTCTTC